GCGCCAGGGGCGGCGGGCGCTGTCTCTTTAAGGTCACTGCCTGCTCCGGCACGACATGGGGAGGACAGCTGGGCACTGGCCATCTGACTGACTCCGGCTTGACATCTGGGAGCCCACTGGTGTGTGGCACGCGAAGCGCTTGATGCCGCTATTTAAATGCAAATGTGAGGGGGCTCATTGAAGCCTCTCCCCGTAAATCCGCACAAAAGGAATACTTCCCACCCTCCGAGGAGGAGGCGGCGGCGGCAGCTCGAGGGCCACCCGTGCAAATCGCGTTGGGCGCGGGGCCCTGAGCGGTCGCCGCAGCCGTCGCGGCCCGCGGGGTCCCCGGCAAAGGTCGGACTCCGCCCAGTCCGGCCCCTGGACGCGGGTCTGGCCCCTGGGAGTGCTCTGTGCACCGAGGTTAGACCTCCGGCCGCCGTGGGCCTGCAAAACTTCCAAAGTAGCAGCCTGTTTCTCCTCCTCTCCCTTCTCCTGGGTACCCAGCGCCCCGCGTTCCCCAGAAAGGGCGAGGGGTGGGGGCAAGGCTCCCTCCGGAAGCGGCCGGGCGCCGGAACGCGCTCCCAGAGTTACTCAGGACACTCGGGGTTTGACCTGCAGCCCTCTTCCCCGTCCCTGGCCTGGCTGCGGTGTCCCTTGCTCCCCTCTGCTGCTGCTCCTGCCCCATCAAGTCGAAAATCTGAGGGTGGGATGGGGTGGGGGCCCAGGGGGTACCCTCCCGGGCCGCTCCGCAGCAGGCCGGGGTGGAGACCCTGCCCGGTCGGCGAGTCCCTGTGCCCACAGCTCGGAGCCAGCAGCGGAGTGACAAAAAAGATAAAGTTGGTGAATGATAAAGACCGTATTTTCCACGCTTTGGGTGCGGGACCAGATGATCTAGAAAATGAGCTGAAATGGATTCAGCCTCCGAGCCTGTTGTGAGAGCAGCTGATTCCCCCATTTCGGGCCAGATGGCTGCTGAACACAGATTTGCATTCATTTTCGCTTAATATCGTCCAAAATAGTGGGGCAGCTGCATTTGTTGTCAAAAAGGTTTAAAACCCCTTTTCTTTCTGGGGCAGGATCGTTACCTTATGTGATGGGCTTATAGAACTTTTTTTTCCTCTTTAGTCAACAGTATCAGATTTAGAAGGATTTGTTTTTAAACCTTCTAATTTGGTAATCAGATTTAAATCGCCTTGGCGCGTGTAATCTGAATTAAAGATACTGTAAATGATTTTAAGCATGATACTTTCGTTAGCGCAAGGAAGGGGCACAGGCTGGACATTTTAGGAAGTGTGCTATAAAGGAAGCATTGTTTCCTATTTCCAACTTCATCTTTCCCGAAAAGGCACTTTGCATATTCTGACAATAACGCTTGCCTGGCCGCTGGCCCTGCGTGAGCCCCCGAAGCAGCTAAACACGCAGAGACAAAGCGTTTCTCAAACCCACCCTCCCCCGATGGCCAACTTTATTTTGCGTTGTTTCTCCACGAAGAAAGTGTTCCCTACTACACAAGGGTCTGCCGAGAGTGGAAAGCGCTGGGCTTATTAGGAATACAGAAATTTTCTTTTAATTTATCATGAATAGTTTCCATACACTTTGATTTAAGGTTATTAACATTCTATAGACAGTGGCATCTTTAATATGTGGCGATCGCTTCTAAAGACTAATCTCATTACCCTCAAATAGTCATAAAATATGATTTTATTATACTTACGTATTTAATTAGACGGCCGGCACCGTAATGGATTTTGAGATGGGACTGGCGCAACAGCTTTGATAATTCACTTATCTTTGGCAATAGTCATTAACCCCCAACACCAGCAAAATAGATCTCTTTCCAACACATCTTTTTTCTCACTCCTTCCAAGAGGCGTGGGAGTCCCCAGATAACGTGAATCGGACTTCGATTTTCCCGATTAATTAAAATATTAACGTACACACGCTGCCAATTCAC